GAGCCTGAATTCTGATCTCGTCCTGCCTGTCAACCCAGTGTTCCCCTGCAAACCACAGGCCTCTTTGCGTTCTCTTTCTCCATGTCCAGTCTGTAAGCAATTTCTGTGGGCACTGTCCTCAAAGCTCCTGAGTCTTAGCACTTCTGACTACCTTGTTGTCCCTCAGCTTTCACTGCATTACGGCAGTAACTTCCAAACTGGCCTCTCTGCTTTTACTCCTGCCCCGCTACCATGTAGCAGAGCAGCTAGTGATCCTTGTAGGCAGTAAATCAGACTGTTTCTCTGCTGCTTGCAACCTGACATTGGCCCTCCCCTTTATTCAGAGGCACAGTCAGAGTCTTGCAGATGGCCTCCAACTGCCCACTAATTTGCCCCCTCACCCATGTGCCTCTCGGACCTCTCCTCTTACTCTTCTCCCCCTTTCTCCGCACGCTGTACCCTGCCGTGGCCACCCTGACCTCTTTACTGATCCTCACACATGCCAGATGAGCTCCTCCCTCAGGACCTTTGCACCACTGTTCCTTCTGCCTGCAGAGCTCCCTAGATGTCCACGTGGCTGACTTCCCCTTGTGCTTCAGGTTTTTGCTCATTTGTCACCTTTTTTTGTTATACAGCACAAAATTTGCGGACTTGTTACATAAAATTCATTATTTGGCCATTTTTATCATAATATGCCGTGTTTTTCCAAGGCTACCCTCTCTCTGATCTTGACTAGATCAGGGCTACCAAGCACAGTGGCATGTGCACCTTCTTTTTGGAGAGGTTATCTGCAGATCCTGCAGGGAGATGATGAGCCCAGATCTGAGCTCTTCTTTGTTCCCTGGTGTAAAATTGATGAAGGAATAGGAGGGAGACAGGTCTGGTGTGGCTGGGATATTTATTTGGTCAGGGTGTCTTGGGTGGGCACAATATCTTTATTGAAGGTGAATCATCTTGGGGAGATCAGCACTCATGTGCAGAGCATCTTGCCAGCTGAGTCTACTTTGTCACCTCCCTGTCCATGGTGGTCAGAAGAGCACTCTGAAGGTGGGAGCCCATAGCACTGTGTCATCTCTGTTGCCAGGGCATGGTCTCGGGCAGCCACTTCACCACATGGGTCTCCTTAAAATGCAGGGTAGGTAAAATAATCTATGGCGCACTCTTATTTTCCTCCTTTTTTAGAAAAATTGATTTGTCATGGCAGCTTCTAAAGCCCCCCTTCCTTGGTGTTCCTGCCATTCTGCGAGTTGGCCAGTAGGTGGCATCTTCTTTCATTGATATGATGTGTTCTTTTAAAGCAATTTAAGAATATTGCTCAACACACACACAGGGTTAACTTGTCATATTCCCTGATGTTTGGGCTCTTGTGTTTAGAAACATCATCACCGTCATTTCCCTGGTTGGACTCACTGTATTGTGGTAGGTGGTGTATGAAGTTTAAATTAGAAAAATCAGACACACCAAGGTATCTTATATCTTATTTATTACAGATCAATTTCATCCCTGTTAATACTGGCCACTCTATGTTCTCTGATTCATTCACAGATTTTAGCTAGTGAACCATGAAGCGTGAAGTTTATTAAACTCATATTACTTGACTTCATGAAGTAAAACACTGAACCAAATAATAGTTGGGTCCTTTTTAAATGGTCTTTTAAAATATCCAGAGGAACTATGACCCATTTGTGTTTTAGCCCCTAGAGAACATGACTTCATACTGTTTGTTACAATGTAGGATAGATGTCTGTGGCAAGTTCGTGTTAGTTCCTCTCTAGGGGTATATATTCTAAAAGAATTGATCCCATCGGAAGGCTGTTGAAAGTTATTTCATCCACAAAATGAACTGTTAAGCTTGAGCCCTGGAAATTGCATTTGCTTTAAGACACTGATGATGACTGTAGTCCTAGAGAGCTTTGTCTCATTTCAGGATCCGTGTATTCTCCAGCATCGTGACACTTAACCAGGTTCCCCAAGGAGGAATATTGTAATTCCTTTGGCACGCTACTTAAATAATAGGATAATCAGGCTGGTTTTCATGTCTGGATTTATTGTTATTGTGCTGTTGTTATTGGTGGCTGTGTTCTACTTTTGATGTTTGTTGCTATCCTTGAAATTGTAAGATACAGCAGGCCAGTTTCTAGTGTGTAAGTGTCTGTTTGTGCCTGGTAAGTTTCACTACATGTTAAAAGTTCAGACTAGGTGTAGACATGCAAAGATAACCTGAGGCCAACCTGTTTTCTCTGAAACTTCTCTGTTAAGGCTGTAGATAAGCTTTCCTTTCAACTTTGGTCTCTGACAGAACTTGGGACAACCATGAAATTTGATTATTAGTTTAATTAGCATTATTAAAAACCAAACTTTAAGTTTTTCTTTTATGTGATAAATTTAGCTATAGTTTACAGTTATAACATTTTGATGAAGCGATACCGTTATCTAATAAGTGTTAGGTTAAACCAAATTAGTGACATTTGACCTTTTTTTTTAACCCCCAAAACAGCAGTTACATATGGTTTAAGCCAACCCTATTCATTGAGTTCTGGTGCTGTAAGAACTAGGAAGATAAGTAGCTATGCTCCCTCTCTGGGGAGAGCTTGTATAATCTGATACTCTGCAGAAAGATTTGGTCACGTTTCTCATACCTTACCATTTATGGCAGTGGGAAAGAGTGCTGAATACTGGGGAGAGTGAGGACAGTTCAGAGATTATTTTTGATTAATCATAAATTCACTGACTAACTTTTCTTTCTGGGGCATTCAAATTAACCAAGATATTGGTAGTAGTTAATAGGGGACCCTCATGTGAAGTGCAGTTTGCATTCATTCACCTAGCGTCTGTTTACTGAGCACCTACTACATGACAGGCATTGTGCTGGGCTCTGGGACATAATGGTGAGCAAAACCGCCATGTGACCTGCCTTCACAGAGCTTAACATTTTAGTAGGGGAAGATGTGCATTCCTCAGATAATTGCACACATGTATGTATGTGACAGCTCTGACTTGTGCTCCAAAGGAATATATTCTACCAGGCGTTTTCTGGGTGCGTCTAGTATAGTATATTTGTTAAAAGAGACTATAGTGTTCTTTAATTTTAATATTTCATGAAGGACTTTCCATATTGAGCTTTCCCTCCATTAATTTTAATCATAGCACATTAGCCCATTATATTTCACCACTTAAATTGTTTCTGTGATTTCTCCGATTATAAATAATGCTGATAAAATTTTGGGGGGAGCATAGTAGTCAGGGTGGGCTAAATGACTGAAACAAATAGACGCAAAACATAGTCATTCGAACAGAGAAGCGTCTGCTTTTCACAAACCGTCCGCGGTGCTCTACAGCCCAGACTAGGCTAATGTTGGCCCTGCCCCCTTCAGCCTGTGGCTTCAGAGGTGGCTCTGCTCTCTTGGTCATGGTCACTACCACCTGCAGGACAGGGAGCCTGAGGCTTTACAGGCAGGTCTGTTTGTTTCCAGTCTGCTCCCTGACCAGTAACCACACCACAGTGGTTTTCTAACATACTTCCCTAGCCTGTTTTATTTTGTTTGTTGTTTTCTTGTCCCTGGGCCTCTTTTTTAACTCATTAGGGCTGCCTTGAAGTCATGGAACTGATAGTCTCAAGTGGGAAGACAGCACCTGTAATCTGATTCTTGCATTGTACTACCTCCCTCTTACGGGCTTACTGGGAAAATCTTGAAACTTAAGGCAGAGGTCTACAAACCCACCACTTGTTTATGTATGCCCTCAAGCTAAGAATGGTTTTCACATTTTTTAATCATTGAGGGGGAAAAAAAGCATTTTATAACGCATAAAGATTATATGAAACTGAAATTTCGTTGTCCATAGATAAAGGTTATTGGAACACAGCCGCAGTCATTCATTTATATATCATCTGTGACCACTTTTGTGCTACTGTAGGAGAGCTAAGTAGTTGCAACAGGTCATATGGCTCACAAAGCCTAAAATATTTATTATCTGGCCTGTTACAGAAAAGTTTGCCGGACTGGTTTAAAACATTGTTCAGACTTCTCTGTTGCCATTTGGGGTATAGAAGCCGTTGGCCTTTCCATCTTATGAGGCTCTGTTTCTGTACTTGATCTGCTTCCTTTCATAATTGCCTACAAACAGGCTGATTCTTTCTCATAAAACCTTGCTGAAAACAGTAATCCAAACTATCATCTGGCTCTGTATAGAGATTCTTCCCATCGGGTTTCCGGCTCCACTAGGCACGTGTTTTGCCTTCCAAATTGTCACATGGTTGATTTCACCAAATCTTATGCCACAGAGTGATAAGGGCCTTCCAGCTTTCCAGCCTGCAACCCGTTTCCTCTCCACTTGACTCTTAATTCAGCACCACACATTTTAGATGGAAGGCATCACCCTTATTCTAGATAACAGTTAAGGTGTTAGTGAGCATAGTCTGTGCTGCTGTAGTGAGCCATAGGTCTAAAATGCAATAGAGCTTCATATGTCTCTAAAATAACAATCCAGTGTAGCCGTCCTGGGTTTGGCAGTGGTGGGGACATGGGGGTTGGGGTACATTCTGCCCTTTGTAGTTATTTAGGAACCAGATAGAAGTTCTGCCATCTTCAACTTGTGAAATGTCACTCTAGACTTGGTCATTGCCATTCTAGCTCATGGGAAGGGGAAAAGGCTTGGAGAAGGATGCAAAGTCAGATGGATGGGCCAAGACTGGAAGTAGCCCATTGCATGTCTGTTTCATTCTACTGGAAAAAACGGGTCACATGGCTACCCCTAACTGCAGTGGGGGCTGGGGAAGTGGAGCAGCTGGGAATTTGCCATGGGGGAAGGGAAGAAGAGATTTTGATGGACAGGGAGCATTTTACTCCTAGGCTTCTGGAGGTGCGTGCTTTTTTGTATTCCATAAATAAAGTAGGCCAAGTTATGTAAGATTTGCTGTTGGAGTAGGTTTATTTATAGGAAAAAAAATACCTATGCAAATGTAGTTTTTAAATGCAACTCTCCACACAAGTAGCTTGAATAAAATATATGTGTGTTTTCAGGCTATTGCACATTATGAACAATCAGCTGATTATTACAAAGGAGAAGAATCCAACAGGCAAGTATTAGTTTTCTTAATATAATTAAATGGGTTTTGTTATACATGATAAAAGACAAACTTTTACTGTACTCTCTGAGTGTATTGGACCAAATGGAGTTGTACTGGGATATCTTTTTGTTGTTCTATCAGATTGTTATATTTACTCTGCTCTGGTCCTTGATTTCAGTTCAGCTAACAAGTGTCTGCTGAAGGTGGCAGCATATGCTGCCCAGCTTGAGCAGTACCAGAAAGCCATTGAGATCTATGAGCAGGTGAGCTGTCTGTTCAACTTTGAGTAGAAGTCATTCTGAATCTTTTTTTAAATTAAAGTTTTTAGTTAATTTTTCTTTTTATTGAGAAATAACTCACACATCGTGTAATTCATCTTTCTAAGGAGTGCAGTCGGTGGTGTTTAGTTATATTCACCAAGTTGTGTAACCATCATTACTGCCTAATTTTAAAATGTTTTCATCAGCCCAAAAAGAAACCCCATTCCTTTCTCCTCCCAGTCCCTGGAAACCACCGTCTACTTTCTGTCTCAAAGAATTTGCTTATTCTAGGTCTTTAATATATATGGAATCATACAATATGTGGCCCTTTGTGACTAGCTTCTTTTATTTAGCTAATTTTTTCAAGGTTCATCTATGCTTTAGCATATATTTATACTTCATTCCTTTTCATAGCTGAGTAATATTTCATACAGGCATACCTCAGAGATATTGTGGGTTCAGTTCCAGACCACCGCAGTAAAGCAACCGCAATAAAGCGAGTCACGTGAATTTTTTGGTTTCCCAGTGCATATAAAAGTTATGTTTACACTATACTGTAGTCTATTAAGTGTGCAATAGTATTATGTCTAAGAAAACAATGTACATATCTTAATTAAAAAATACTTCATTGCTAAAAAATGCTAACCTTCATCTGTCTAACTGACTAACAAGTCATAATATTTTTGCTGGTGGAGGGTCTTGTAAGAAAAATGCAGTATCTGCGAAGCAAAGCGAAGCGCAGAGAAGTGACTTATGCCTGTCATTTGTTTATCCTATTTATCAATTGATGGACTTTTGGGTTTTTTCCACTTTTGGGCTATTATAAATAAGCTGCTGTGAACATCTGTGTTCAGGTTTCTGTGGGTGTATGTTTGCAGTTCTCTTGGTTATATACCTAGGACTGAGGTTGCTGGGTCATGTGGCAAGTCCATTTTTAACTTTTTGTGGAACTGTCAAGCTCGTCTCCACAGTGGCTGCACCATTTTGCATTCCCACCAGCAATGTACAAGGGTTGCACTTTCTCCACATCCTTACCCATGCTTGTTGTTTTTCGTTTTTTTGATAATAGCCACCCTAATGAATGTGAAGTGGTATCTCATTGTGTTTTTCATTTCCATTTTGCTGATGATTAGTGGTGTTGATAATCTTTTCATGTGCTTATTGGCCATTTATATATCTTTGTTAGAGAAATGTCTGTTCAATTCCTTTGCCCATTTTTTAAATGGGTTGTTAGTTTTTTGGTGTTGAGTTTTAGAAGTTCTTTATATATTCTAGGTATTAATCTCTTATCAGATACGTGATTTGCAAATATTTTCTCCCATTCTGTGGGTTGCCTTTTTACTCTATTATTCATGTCCTTTGATGCATAAAGTTTTAAATTTTGATGAAGTCCAGTTTGTCTGTTTTTTCTTTTGTTGCCTGTGTTTTTCATGTCACATCCAAGAAATCATTGCCCAACCCAAGCTCATGAAACTTTCCCCCTGTGTTTTGTTCTTAAGAGTTTTATAGTTTTAGCTCTTAGGTTTAGGTCTTTGATCCATTTTGAGTTAATTTTCATATATGCTGTTAGGTAAAGGTCCAACTTCATTCTTTTGCATATGGATATCCAGTTTTCCCAGCACCATTTGTTAAATACACTGTCCTTTTGCCATTGAATAGTCTTGGCACCCTGGTTGAAAATTATTTGAGGGGCCGGCCCCGTGGCATAGCGGTTAAGTGCTCACGCTCCGCTGCTGGAGACTCGGCTTCGGATCGCGGGTGCGCACTGACGCATTGCTTGTCAGGCCATGCTGTGGTGGCTTGCGATATAAAGTAGAGGAAGATGGGCACAGATGTTAGTTCAGGGCCACTCTTCCTCAGCAAAAAGAGGAGGATTGGTATGGATGTTAGCTCAGGGCTGATCTTGCCCACAAAAAGGGAAAAAAAAAAAATTATAAAAAAAAAAAATTATTTGACCAATATGTAAGGGTTTATTTTTGGGCTTTCTGTTCTATTCCATTGGTCTATATGTCTGTCTATTCTATTCTGTAACAATATCACACTGTTTTGATTACTATAGCTTTGTAGTAAGTTTTCAAATTTGAAATTAGTTCCTTTATAGGAAGTGTGAGTCCTCCAACTTTGTTCTTCTTTTTCAAGATTGTTTTGGTTATTCAGGGTCCCTTGCATTTCCATATAAATTTTGGGATCAGCTTGTCAGTCTCTGCCAAGAAGCCAGCTGGGATTTTGATGGGGATTGCATTGAATCTGTAAACCAATTTGAAATTGTTGCCATCTTAACAACATTGTCTTACAATCTGTGAACACAGGATGCCTTTCCATTTATTTTAGGTCTTTTTTAATTGAGTTCAACAGTGTTTTATAGTTTCAGCGTGCAAGTCTTACACTTCTTTGGTTAAAATATACTTCTGAGTATTTTCTTTTTGATGTTATTGTAAATGGAATTATTTTCTTAATTTCCTTTTCAGGTTGTTAATTGCTAGTCTTATATACTACAACCTTGCTGAACTTGTATATTAGCTCTAATGATTTTTTTTTTTTTGATTCCTTAGGATTTTCTATATACAAAATCTTGTCATCTGTAAATAGTGGTAGTTTTGTTTCTTCTTTTCCAATGTGGATATGTTTTACTTCATTTTCTTGTCAATTGGCCTGGCTAGAACCTCCAGTACAGTGTTAAATAGAAGTGGCAAGAGCAGACATCCTTGTCTTGTTTTCATATTAGAAGGAAAGCTTTCAATCTTTCACCATTACGTATGATGTTAACTCTAGGTTTTTTGTAGATGTCCTTTATCAGTTTGAGAAAGTTCCCTTTTCTGCCTAGTTTGTTGAGTGTTTTTATCATCAAAAGCTGTTGGATTTTGTCAAGTGCTTTTTTTGCATCTATTGAGATGATCATATGATTTTTGTCCTTTATTCTATTAATATGGCATATTCCATTGACTGACTTTCATATATTGAACCAACCTTACTACATTCCTGGGATAAATCCTACTTGATTATTACAAAGTTTGGGGGTCTCCAAGAATACCTTCACATTCGATAATTCTCTAGAAGGGTTCATAGAACTCATTGAAAGCTGTTATACTCACAGTTATGGTTTATGATAGCAAAAGGGAACAGATTAAAATCAGCCAACGGAAGAGGTGCATAGGGCAGGTCCAGGAGAGTTCCAAGTGTGGAACTTCCTGTTGTCCTCCCCCAGTGGAGTCATGTGAACAGTGCTTACTTCTCCCAACAACAACGTGTGAAAATATGCATAGAGTATTGTCAACAGGGGAAGCTCACCTGAACCTGCTGTCCAGAGTTTTTACTGGGGCTTAGTCGCTTAGACATGGCTGGCCACTCACATGATTGACCTTATTCTCTACTCCTTCCAGCCTTTCCAAAGGTTGAGCTGAACCACAGTGCCTAAGGCCCCCAGGTAAATAAGAACACTCTTTCAAGCAGGACACTCCAAGGGTTTAGAGATCACGTCCCAGGAGCCACAGGCAAAGGCCAGACCTCACTTTGTACAAAATTAATCCTTTACTGCATAGTCATGGTGTGTAATCCTTTTTGTAAGTTGTCAGAATTAATTTGCTAGTATTTTGTTGAGGATTTTGCATCTATATTCATAAAGGATATTGATCTTTAATTTTCTTTTCTTCTGATGTCTTTGCAGACAAAGACTTTGGTAGCAAGGTAATACTGGCCTCATAGAATGAGTTGGGAAGTATTCTCATCTCTTTTATTTTTTGGAAGAGTTTGTCAAGGATTGGTGTTAATTCTTCTTTAAACATTTGGTAGAATTCAATGATTTTCTCTTCTGTTTTTCTGTTTTCAAATTCTTTGATTTCCACTGTTATCTTTATCCCTTCCTTCCACTTGCTTTGGATTTATTTTGCTCTTCTTTTTCTAGGGAGTTGAAGTGGAAGCTTATTAGCTTATTGCTTTTCGTCTTTGTGTGTACGCATTTTTAGTGCTATCAGTTTTCCTCTCAGCACTGCTTTGACTGTCTCTCACAATTTTGTTATATTGTTTTATCTTTATTTTAATTCATTTCATTGCATTTATTGATTTCCCTTGAGACTTCCTCTTTGACCTGTGGATTATTTAGAAGTGTTTTGTTTAATTTCCAAGTGTTTGGAGATTTTTCTGTTATCTTTCTGTTGTTGACTTCTAGTTTGATTCTTTTGTGGCTGGAGAACACACTCTGTGTAATTTCAATTCTTATAAATATGTTGAGGTTTGTTTTATGGCCTGGAATATGGTTTTGTCTTTGCATATGTTCTGTGGTTCTGCTGCAGGTGGCATGTTCTATAAATGTTGATTAGATCCTCCTGGTTGATGGTGTTGTTGAGTTCTTCTATATGCTTGCTGATTTTCTATTTCTATCCATTGTTGATAGTGGAGTTGAAATCTCTAACTGTAGTTGTGGATTATCTGTCTTTCATTTCTCTCTGTCTTTGCTTTACATATTTTGCAGCTCTGTTGTTTGCTGACTGCATGATTAGGATTGCTATGTCTTCTTGGTGGGTTGACCCTTTTATCATTACATAACGTTCCCTTCTGTCACTGGTAATTTTATTTGCTCTGAAGTCTACTTTATTTGATATTAATATAGCCTGTCTTGCTCTCTTGATTAGTGTTTATATGATAGATCTTTCTCTATCCTTTTTCTTTCTGCCTGCCTATATCATTATAATTGAATTGAGTTTCTTATGGACAGCATATTGTTAGGTCATGCTTTTTAATCCACTTTGCCAATCTCTGTCTTTTAATTGGTGTATTTAGACTATTTGCATTTAATGTAATTATTGATATGTTGGGGCTTAAGTCTACCATTTTATTTTTTGATCTTGTTTATGCTCTATTTTCTATTTCTCTGTTTTCTTTTTCCTGCTTTCCAGTGAGTTACTTATCTATTGCGTGTTTGAGTATATCTCTTTGAATAGTTTTTTTAGTGATTGCTCTAGGTATTATATTTACATAACTTATCACAGGCTAATGGTGTCATTATTTTAACAGTTCCAGTGAAATACGGAAATCTTATCTTACTTTCTGGCCTTTTACTCTCCTCGTTCAATGTGTAATTGTCTTAAATATTTCCTCTACTTACTTTTAGAACCATATCAGTGTTAATAATTTTTGCTTCAACCATCAAACATAATTTAGAAAACTCAGGAGAAGAAAAGCCCATTGTATTCACCCATATTTTGCTTACTGTGTTCTTTCTTCCTTCCTGATGTTCAAAGATTCCTTCTTTCATTGTTTCCTTTCTATTTAGAGAATATCCTTTTGCCATTCTTTTAGGGTAGGTCTACTGGTGATAGATTCACTTAGTTTTCCTTCACCTGGAAGTGTTTTGATTTCTCCTTCATTCATATAGCATATTTTCCTGGGTGTACAGTTCTGAGTTGATAGTTATTTTCTTTTAGTACTTGAAATGTGTGCCACTTATGGCCTCCATTGTTTCTGATGAGAAGTCTGCTCTCATTCAAGTTGTTTTTCCCCTGTAAGTAGGGTGTTGTTTTTCTCTGGCCGTTTTCAAAATTTTTTTGTCTTCAGTTTTCAGAAGTTTATGTGGCTTGGCATGGATTTCTTTGCTTTTATCCTGTTTGGGTTTCACTAAACTTCTAGAATCTGTAGGTTTATGTTACTTGCCAAATCTGGGAACTATTCAGCCATTATTTCTTCAAGTACTTTTACAGCCCCTCTCTTTTTCTCCTCTTCTTCCAGGACTCAGACAACCTGAATGTTAGACCTTATTTTATAGTCACGTAGGTCCCTGATGCTCTGTTCATTTTTTTTTTCAGTTCATCTCACTGTTGTTCAGACTGAGTAGTTTCTAATGTTTTATCATCACTTCCCTGATTCTTTCCTCTGTCCTCTCCATTCTGCTGTTGAGCCCATCCACTTTTTATGTTGGTTTTTGTATTTTTCAGTTCTGAAATTTCTGTTAGTTTCCTCTTTATATTTTCTGGGATATTTTGCTGGAAATTTCTTTTTCTTTGTTGATGCTTTCTGTTTTTTCTTTAGTTTCAAGTGTTTCTTTAATTGCTCATTGAAGCATTTTTATGAGAGCTCTTTTAAAATCTTGGTTAGATAATTCTAACATTTATGTCATCTCAGAGCAGTCTATCTATTGGTGGTCTTTTTTCTTTCAGCTGGAGATCTTTTCTTTTTTTGGTATGATGAGTGAGTTTTGATTGAAAACGGGACATTTTCGTATTATGTTGTGAGACTGGGTCTTATTGAATTCTACTCTGTCGGCTGGTTTTCTTTGACACTGCTCTAAGGAAGGGGAGTGTCACCTCATTACTGCTAGATGGATTTCAAAGTTCAGGCTCCTCACTTCGCTTCCACTGACATCTAGGGGGAGACCCTTCTTAATTCTGGGCGGAGGTGGCCATTCCAGCCCCTGCTTGCTCTCCACCAGTGCCACGCTGGGGTTGTCCTCGTTACTGCCAGGTGATGGTGAAAGTCTTAACCCTCCACTAGGCCTCTTCTGGGAGATGAGGGGTGCCTTGTTCCTGCTGGGTAGAGGTGGAATCCATGCTCCCCCTGTGGTCTCCGCTGCCTCAGCGGCGGGGGTGGAGGGTGGGCTTGTTGCTAGCTGACAGGGGTGAAGGCTTGCCTCCCTACTTGGCCTTCTCTGAAGCCACCTTGACAGGAATATTGGGCTCCTCCTTGCAGTCTTGAAAGGATGGATGTCTCAGTTCCTTCTTCAGTCTTTTCTGATGTGAGTGGGGATAGGGCCACAGTTTTCCTGTGGTGTTTGGCTGGAGTAGAAGAGTTATTATCTAAACATTTTCTGTCTTGCTAGGCTGCCCCTTTCCTAGTCCTTTGGCTAGAGAGAGCAGACTTTTGTCTATCCTCTTTTTTTGCTATTCCCACTGCCATTTATAGGTTGCTGGGTTTTTCTGTTTCAAGTCAGAGATATATGAGAGAAAAAAAAAACCCAGGGAACTCACTGCTGTGTGTTCCCTTGTGTCTCAAAGTCCCTAGCTTGTCTGCTCTCTTGTCTCTACCTTTCAGTCTTCTTATGTTTGTTTTTTATAAAATGGGGCTTTTAGTTGTACCTAGCAGGAGGAGTAGAGGAAAGTATGTCTATTCCATCTTTCTGGAAGTAGAAGTCTTCCAAGTCATTTTTAACAGATCAGCACTTTAAGCATTATGTACTGGTTCTTGTCTAGTAAAATTTTCTAGTATATGATATTGGCTTAAAGGAATATATTTCATGCTAAGCTAATGTAAGAGAAAGAAGTATTTTCTAAAGGGCAGCAAATGAGAATCAGTTTGCCTAATATAAGAAGGCAAATCTTTTAAATCTAACACTGCTTTCTGTGCCTAGGTTGGGGCCAACACCATGGATAATCCTTTGTTGAAGTATAGTGCAAAGGATTACTTCTTTAAAGCAGCCCTCTGTCACTTCATAGTGGATGAGTTGAATGCCAAGGTAAGGAGTCCTTCAGCGGTAGTTTTCTGATACACCTTACCTATCAGAACAGGCTTCAGGTAACTGTCGTTCTTGATATCATTTCGTTTGGGTCGTGTTCGTTAGTAGCAAGACTAAACTGGGTACATTTATAATAATAGTAATAATAATACCATGATGTGTGTCTCACCTGTAGTCTTGTAACAGCTGCCAAAGCTGGTCTCTTAAAGTTCCCTGTAGCCATGTTTCCTTCAGTAGTTTTGCTTTAAAGAAATTAAGGGCTGGGGCTGGCCTGGTGGCATAGTGGTTAAGTTCACGTGCTCCACTTTGGCGGCCCGGGGTTGGCGGGTTCAGATCCTGGCGCAGACCTACACACCTTTCGTCAAGCCATGCTGTGGTGGCATCCCACATACAGAATAGAGGGAGATTGGCACAGATGTTAGCTCAGGGCCAATCTTCCTCACCTGAAAAAAAAAAAAAAGAAATTAAGAGGCTAAGTGGGAGATAATACAAGTAGAATAACATCCTGTTTTTAAACTCAGAAATGCAGTTGGAATGAGGATTGGGGAGAAAGTGAAAAGTGAAGTGAAAGCTGAGCGACAAGAGGTGAGACTTGAGCAGCCTTGGTGTTGTCAGTGTCTGGAGTTGGAAGGGCAGAATGAAAGCATCTGAGAGGAAAAGCGTTCTTCCCTCCAGCCTCAAGCAGTGGTCTAACTGTGATTTGTTTGGAATCTGGACAGTGTTAAGGAAGAGCTTCTCCACATTTAATGGATGAACACAGATATCTGGTCTGTGAGGTTTTAGGAATTAGATTTGGTTCACATTGTCTTCTCTATAGCAGTTTAATTTAGAAAAATTGTTTTAGAAATTTATTCTTAACTGAAATAGAAAATTCAAAATAAATAGGTTTTCTGTGTTGATTTTGATGTTGAGTTTAACAGCATACTTCTTATACATTTAAGTAGGATATAGATAAATCTTACTGAAGTCAATAGAATGTTCAACGCTTCGTTGAGTCAGACATTAACAAGTGGCTTTTTTTCTCTCAGCTTGCTCTTGAGAAATATGAGGAAATGTTTCCAGCATTTACTGATTCAAGAGAATGTAAATTATTGAAAGTAAGTAATATTAGAACCTTGAAGAAAATAAAGCCTTTGCTGTCAGGTGGGATTGGGTATAAAGTGAAGTTTGCTGAGAACCCCTGGTACTTTGTTGCTTTTGCGTAATAGGTCTCAAATGCCACTAGAGTCAGGGACATAAGCCTTGTGTTCTGAAACAGGAAATGCAGAAATGTTAGCGCAGAAACTGGATCTGTGACTTGGAGTAATTCTTGACTTGTATTTGAATATTTCCCTAATTTTGTAAAGTATTTGGCAACATCAGTAATGTGATACTAAGGCTATTTCTGTAGTTAAAGTATCTATTCATAAATGGAACTTTTTAGCCCACCAAACTAATTTTTCACATTTATGCTACCAGAAACTTCTAGAAGCTCATGAAGAACAGAACAGTGAAGCTTACACTGAAGCAGTAAGTTATGCCTTTATGATATAGTACATTCTTTGAAGGTTTAAATTATAGAAACTTCTTGTCCTTTTTGTTGTGTAAATGCTGAATATTTATTTGAACATTATTCCAGTATACCTAAGTTGTATTTTCCAAAGGTCATGTTTTTTATATCTCACAAACCTTTACAAGTAAACAGTTCTGTTAGCCATGCTGAATTTAGCTGAGGCAAATTCAAGAGACAATATCAGATACTGTTACAATTTGCTGTTTGAATGTTTTCTTTTGAAAATAACATAAATAAGTGTCAAGTAAAATCAGTTAAATATAATTTAAAATATGAAAACAAAGCAGTGAGAGTTTGCTATATTCTTGACATAAAATAAATGGAAGATTTTTTCTTTACATTCATCAGTTTTTTGTTTTCCCATCTTTTGCCATCTTATGTTTAGAATCAAGCAAATTTCTCAGTATCCTCCATTAATATATTCATCATGGCTTTGAAGCCATGGTGGAAAGGAATGTTTTCTCATTTAACTTTTGCTGCCAAACCATTTTCATTCTATTGAAATGTCATTCTTTGGTAACGCATTGAAATAAGTTAAAGGAATTCTGTTTCCACACATCCTATCTCTGTAAGTTCATTTTGTCATGTTCAGTGAATATTGGAGCAGTATCAATTTTCCATGTTCCTTTCTTATTCTTATACAGAGTCTCATTTCCTTTGTCACATTAAATGTGCTCTTCTTCCAATGATAAAGGCTGTTATTAATTTTTGCCATCACATGTTGGCATACAGAGCAATATAAAAAGCACAGGGGGGCCGGCCCAGTGGCGTAGTGGTTAAGTTTGCACGCTCTGCTTTGGCAGCCTGGGGTTCGCAGGTTTGGATCCAAGGTGTGGCCCTACACACCACTCATCAAGCCGTGCTGTGGCGGCGTCCCACATACAAAATAGAGGAAAATTAGCACAGATGTTAGCTCAGGGACAATCTTTCTCACCAAAAAAAAAAAAAAAGGCACAGGAACTTGTCACTAGCTCCATCAAAATAGTCACAGGATAATGAAAAAATAAACAATTCTTAATGAAGATAGTTATAAACTGGAATGAATTGATTTTAAGTGAAAAGTTGGCAGATTATCACTGTAAATGTTTAAACAGCTTGGGGGACTGTTGTTTTGGGTTTTCCTTGGAATAATTCCTGTTCCTCTTCCCTTAAATCAGGTGAAGGAGTTTGACTCAATATCTCGTTTGGATCAGTGGCTTACTACCATGTTGCTGCGTATCAAAAAGTCCATCCAAGGGGATGGAGAAGGAGATGGAGACCTCAAGTGAAATGTTTTTGTCTTTGTGGCATGCAGCTAAACTCCTCTTTAGTTTCATCCTAGGGCCAAGTGATCTTTATGGAATGCCCATTTAATGGCTTAATTTTGTGCACATGAGTGAAACGATCTGTCTGTTGTTTAAGCTCCCACTGTTTGTGTCACTGTGATGTGGGCAGATGGGAAGCTCCTGTGCATATTGTGGATGTGATGGGCTATTTCACGCTTTTCAGAGTTCCCAGAGTTTTCTGAGAACTACTGCAGAATTGTATTCCCGTTATTTTGATATTTGCAGAGCCCATGTTTAGTTTTGCCATGTTCTTATATCCTTTTTCTTGTACTTAAGTACCCCACCCAAATGTTCTGATAAATGCTCTGCATATTCTCTGTTAATTTGCATCTGGTTGTATTCTCTAAATGTATGTGTTTAGGATGGTTGTTAGGAATGAGTTTATGACTTTCCTCATTAGAAATTTGATGTGTGTGTGTGATCTTGTGATTCTTTGGTGGTGCTAGTGGCTAGTCTCTTTGCTTTTTATGTTCTGTGTGCTAACATGCATGTGAAAATTCAGAACAGCCAGGGTCTGCCGGCATCACTTACGTTGTGCGAAAAGGGAGCTTCTTGGCAGTGCTTAGTTCTGTGTGTGGATGAATGTCAAGATGGGTTTGACGGATTGTACTTACACACACACACACACACACAGAAGATCTGTAAGAAACAGAATTTTTTCTTTTCCTGGTGATAGTTTTCACTTTTAGTTGGGGTGGAAATCCCTTTCGTTATGTTCACATAAAGGTGTTGTAACTGGCACATCCCTTTTCTTCACTTTCACGTTCATACACTTTCCCACATTGAGATGCTGCCCTCTGTGCCACCATCATGTAAATCTTCCTCAGGGCCTGGAGATTATCTAAGGGGAAGTTTGAGAAGGTATGCCATTAACTTTATCCATTTATTGAACATGATGAGTTAGGCAGGGTAAGTATGGTTACACAGGTTTACTATATGCCCAGTTGGGGGGACAACCCCAATTAGCTTCCGAGGGGACTTGATTTTTCTCTTAGCTAATGGAATTGTTTTAGCTTGTGTGTTTGAACTCTGTCCTATTATTTTGGTTGACATGATATGTGCTCTATTGATTTATGAACTTGATCCCTACCCATTATGTTACACGCTGACATTGTACTTTAGATGTGGTCGGCATCTCCTCTGTGCATATTTTTAGGCTTAAATGATTTATGTTTGGTGTGTATTTGTTGCCAGACATAGCATGTGGTTCTTTCTAAATTGTGCTGCTGTCATTAGTGATAGATAATGAAACTTCCCATGTTCTGTCAGATAGTAACTAGTATTTGAATGATGTTTTCATTTTTGGATGTCCCTTAGCTGGGATTGGTAGGCTTTTGTTGGGCAGGAGTAGAGTGGGTGTGCCCAGGCCAAGGGCTGACCGAGAAGGAAGGTTTGGAGACAGTGAATAGGTCAGTCTGGGATGAAGGAGAAAGTAGCAGGAAAGGAAGTTGAAAAGGGCCAGCTGAGGCCCAATTATGGAGGCTGTCCCTCAGGTGGCTGTGAGGATTCCCTGGCCGTAGTTGTGGGATCACCTGCACAAGGTGGACTGGTGGGAAGGAAGGTCAGTGATGTCGTAGTGTTGTCTGAGGGTAAAGGGAATGGGCCAGAAGACATGGATACTCTGGCATTGGGCCCTGGAATCTGATAAGAATTCCTTCCTTCCTTCGGAGGGTCTGGGATGCTTAAAAGAAAGATGGCTGTCACTTATTGTACAATTTGGAATGGAGCCCGTTTGGTACTTCTTCATTTCCTGTTGGAATCTCTTATGAAAAAAAAGATGAGCGGTAAAAGTAGATTCTTGTTGCTATACCTAATCTAGTCCACAACCAAATGCACTTTTGTGAAAGTGAGGTGTGTGGAGTGCTTGTAGCCTGTGTCCCTGGGTGTAATCTCTTCCATCTGGAGAGCATTTAACTCCTAGCCAGCCAGCAGGCTTCTTTGTCACTAGTCTAGAAAGTTTGTTTCCACTTGTTAAAAGAACCTTCTGGTCTGACCACTTAAAATAAAAACTAATGATTTCTTTTAAGGCAATTCCGTTTAGCTTGCATCATGACCCCCTAACAAACACCCATCTGAAGAAAGAGGTATGGTTTTTAAAAATAGTATTGGCAACATTTTGTTACATCAGTCAGTCGAAGAGTTGCTTGTTGTATTGAAATAAACACTGGGCTCAGAGTCTGAGTTAAGAATTTTTTGTTTTTAATATTTTCACATGGAAAGAGTAAAAATTATTGTAATGGCTAGAGCAGAGCTGCCAGAAAATAAAAGGAAAATGAGAGGAAAAAAGTCCCATTAACGGTATCCAGACTTCCTTCCCTGAAATGTCTCCTCTCTGTGGAGCAGTACCATGTCTCAGAGGCCTGAGTTAGGGTTTCAGGATTTATAGAATGTTGTTTATGAACAAAACATAATGACTTTTTATGTTACAGTTCTTGTATTTTAGCAAATCTGGGGTTAGTTCATAGTCCAAGTCAGTTAAAATTTCTTACGGGAAAGCTTTACTTCTTGTGGCATTGTTTTTATAGCTTGTGTGAATTCCTTTTTTATTTAATACTTTGAAAACAGTGTTTTTGCACAGTCATGACCATGTGTGATGGCATCTCTGTAACCAAAGTGTGTGCATTTGTTGTTTCCTCTGATACCGTGCATTTAAAATGTCCAAATGCAAACCTTTGTGGCTTTCTTCGGGGGATTTGGCAGCACAGCATGCTGCGTGTGACCCACCTACCTGCTATGTGAGCTGTGATCAGGAGCAGGTTCCTGCCTGTGAAGTTCTGAGTGGGACACTGTGGTGTTTTCCTCTCATATGCTCTCGGGCAGAGGATTATGTTATGAAAACTAACCATGTGATGATAAATCTGCCTTAGCAGAAAGAGTATGTATGTTTTATGTGAACCTGTACAGTAAATAAAGTGGAAATTATGAGTAATATTTTGATGGGTCTTTCCTAGCTAAATTTACACAGACCAAGAGTAGCTTCCTTTCCTTGAAGTTGTTCCCATTAAGTTTGAGGCAATGGACAGTAACATTCTCTAGGCTCTTTGAATATCCATCTAAGCATGAGTTTGACTATGTTACACCCTCCATTACTTGGTGGAAATTCAGGACACTGTAACCGTTTTGCAGGCAGAGGGTTTATGAAGGAATCCGTGATTACAGCCTATCGACTGCAAGTTTGCACACAATCTCTGAAGCCTCACTCTCATCTCTTCCTGATGCCCCATTAAGGAATCTTGCTTGCATCTTTAGTCTACAGTCACCTGGAAAGTTGTGGGAGGAGTGGTTCCTAGAAGACTGTTGTGAGAGTTGCGGGGCGAGGAACCCTGAAGTAACTCAACTCTGTTGGCAGTGAGGGCATTATTTAACTTTCAGATGTCTGTTCAGGGATGGCGCGTGCCCCTGGGGAGGGTGGAGCCCACTGGCCACTTGGGCCTCAGATTCGGGGGGAGGAAGAAGAGGCTGTGTGGGGGAAGTCCAGGCTGGTTCATCCCATCAGAGAACAGTGTTCAGGTCCGTAAGTATATTCACAGCAACTTAAAGGTAATTCAAAGCAGATTTTAAAAAATGAATGGTAGAGGGGCCGGCCCGGTGGCACAGCGGTTAAGTGTGCACACTCCGCTTCAGCGGCCCAGGGTTTGTGGGTTCAGATCCCAGGCGCTCACTGACGCACCGCTTGTCAAGCCATGCTGTGGCGGAGTCCCATATAAAGTACAGGAAGATGGGCACGGATATGAGCCCAGGGCCAATCTTCCTCAGCCAAGAGAGGAAGGTTGGCATCAGAGGTTAGCTCACCAAAAAAAAAAAGAATGGTAGAACAGGCCATCCCAATTTGGGAATTCTGAGAAGTTGTTGACCAGTTAAGGTTAGTTTATCATTCAAATGTCTCTTTTCAGAATCATTATTTCCTAACAGAAGCCACCATGGTGGTTTAAAAACCTGGTTTTGCCAGCCTTGGTAAGAGTCTCTGTACAGATTGGCAAAGGTTAAGTGGGTGGTTTCTGGGGCTTGGCTAGGGTGGCATGACAGATGGCCCTCTGACCCATGTTTGTAGCCTGCTCAGTTCTATCTGCCCATCTTGGTACATGTGAACAAATGACCCTCTGCATGGGTATGCCCCCCCTCCCCCCGAGATAACATTGTTACTTCAAGTGATGTGAACACCATCCTTTAGTTAAGGAGACAGCACTCATTTGGTCTCAAAAAATGTCCCTGGTGTGGCAAGGTATAAAATTTAACAGGTTGGAATTAAATTAAACTACCTATGTAAAACCACATTTCTGTTAAAATCGCTTTTAATAAAAGGCTTCCCCTGCCATATGGCCCCTGGATTTTTACTCTGTACAACAAATTTTGGTAAAACCCAAGGCAGCGAGTGCTTTGGAGTTTGGGCTGAGAGTATTTCCCAGAAATGGTTGGAAGGCACTAATCACCTCCTCAGTGGCCTTTCCTGATGCACAGCAGGGCCACCACTGAGGGTACTTCCCTAATCCTGGATTGGGGACTGACATACTCAGGGTAGCCTTGCTGTCACTCAACGAGGCTGTACATGGATTAAGAGAAATAGAGGGAGATGCCCACAAATCCCTCTGTGATGAGTCTTTGCAGGGTGTTTGGATTTCTCTGTTCTCAGGGGCAGCCTGACCGTAACCCCCAGGAAGTGGACACAGAAATGGATATAGTTGGAGAAGTCTTTGTGATGCAGACTTTAACATTACATTGAAGGAACCAGTCCACTTCCACATTCCAGCTGCACAGGTTATTCTGCGTAAGCAGAGGTCAGTGTTACTCATCACCAGGCCTCTCACTTCTGAATAAATGTGCAGTGCAATCCACATAGTTTAATAGATTAATCCTAGGACTATAGACCCTGATTTTAAATTTCATTATCCATGAAATTAAGGAAATTATACTTGTTTCAATTAAGAACCTTATTTCTATAAAGCCTAAATTCTAATAATGGAAATACACTTGCAAAACTATTTTTACAAAGCAAACATTTATTAACACATTAAATGATTTTTTGTAGAATTTCTAAAAGAAATTCAAGACAAAAATTCTTCCAGTAGGTAACAAAATAATCTATTATTTAAATTCCTTCTCATTGGGATGACTTTATTCCTTGAAACAGTACATCAGCTGGGCAGGTTCATTCTCTCACGGAAAATAAAATGGCTGTCTGACAGTCACTGTTTTGTTCTGTAAACACAACTAGGATATGTTGTCATAATTGAATCTGAAGTAATTCAGTACTGCTACCTTCAAGAGCAAGTGTGAAACGTGTTATCAGCACCTGAGACACCTTAGAGTGGCTTGAGTATTCACTTGACCATGTCACAAGTTAGAACAAAATAAGCATTTATGAAGAAAGTCTCCTTCCCTCATTAGTTTCTGGCATAGTGCAGCTGTATCTTCATCCTGGAACTCACAGAGAAAGTACCTTTCTCTTAGAAAACAAAAGTGTTTTCACAGCAAGTTTAATTAATAAATTAAAACACGGGAAAAAAGCAACTAGTGAACAAAAGAATTCTCCTCCTTCAAGGTTCTCTTTTTAAATTAATGTGTTTAGGGTTACACGTGAGCCAAAGCACTTTGCATGCGGCAACATACCCAAGCCACTGGAACCAAGAGTCAGATTAGGAAAGACAGCAGAATTATCTTTCCACTGCAAATTCATTTTGAGCAAAAGGCCAGCATGAGACAGACAAAGGAGCATTTAAGACAAAGTCATCGGTTCCTCATAACGCACTCTTAAGGCGGCATCATCACAGGTGAGTGCTAAAGCTTTCGGTCCCCTCAGCTGTATTCTCACGTGCTCCCAAGGAAACAAATGTCTGGCGATTACTTGTCTGTGTCAGGCTCTTGATGTGGAAATGAGAAATTCTGCACTTCTGAAAATTACAGAAATTAAGTCAGAAAAACCTAGCAAAAATATTAATACTCTGTGTTCTGAGATTTGCCACAATCACCTCATTGCTACTCATGAATAAAAGGACTACACGATGATTCAAGTATTCTAAAGCCTCTTGCTTAATTTTTCACACCTCTTTGCAAAAACCACACTGTTTGCTGCTGTAATCTTTGGTAGGACAGCTTTTACCTAATCAGATTTTTAGGAATGAAACCAAACGTTTCATTTCCAAAGTTATTTTGTGGCAAATTTCCTTGCTGCATATGTGCTGTGAGTAGAGATTATACTAAGCTATTTCACAAGTGTTCAATTTCTCATTCTTTTTTTAGCGCCTACAAACCGGGGGGTAGAAGGGAATGAATGCAATAATCCATTTCTTCAGTCCCATTCAAGGGTCCCCAGAGCAGATCTGATTTGCTTCAATTCAACAGGAAAGAAACAGCCGAAAATACATGGCCCCAATTTTATTTCAGCTTTGTAGAAAAATACCTTAAAAGTATCAGAGAAATAAACCCACATGGAAGTATAAGGCAGGCTGAGACACCAGGGAGACCATTAAAAGCAATTGCATGAGCTGGATCAATGCTGTGTACTAAGATGAAGCAGTTGTCCAAACTTCATAAACATCAAGATAATCAAGCGTTAGAATGATTAACGCATACAACTACACCACAAGTAAGTGAGGTTACATTAACTGCCTTGTTTGTTGATAAAGTGTAGCTGAGATCATGCAGATCAGGATTTTTAAGGGAAAGCTTTAAAAACACTTTGATAAAGACGTGCAAGTTAGCAGAAATTCAGAGAAACCTGCTGAAGCTGTTCTTGCCCACTTCTTTGCCCATAGACAGTCTTTTTCTTAGCCCCTGACATTATCTCGTGTACAGCTATCACACGCAAAGAGACAGGATGAGACCTGCTTGGCAGGTAACTTCAAGCTCTTATTCCATGTTGGTCAAAGAGTGAAGTTGTGTGGGCATTGAGTCTGTCTGTGGAGTCAGCTCGCTAAGCTCACTGATGGTGGTGGCCAGCAGAGCATCCTGGGACACCATGGAATCATCTGACTTGCAGGCCGTGTCTGCAGAGCTGTTCTCGTGCACGGTAGATACGCTGTCTTGGACTGTTGCCAGGTTGTGAAAATGGCCATTTTCTGCAAAAGACAGCAATTTATCTGAAAGTTTGGATGATGCATATTCTTCATCAGGCTGTTCAGTCTTGTGCCCTTCATCATTCTTGGGTGAGCCATCTACAATAACAAGGAAAGACTTCCATGGAGTATTCTTATCATGTATCTACAAATCAAACACAAAACAACAGTCACTTAATGTGTTTCTAAACAAGTATCTGTAAATCTCCCAATTCACAGCTACTTATTAACAAGTACGTCTTTTAAAACAATAGTCTCGGGGGATGGCCCTGTGGCTTAGCGGTTAAGTGCGCACTCCGCTACTGGCCGCCCGGGTTCAGATCCTGGGCGCGCACCGACGCACCACTTCTCCGGCCGTGCTGAGGCCGCGTCCCCACATACAGCAACTAGAAGGATGTGCAACTATGACATACAACTATCTACTGGGGTTTTGGGGAAAAAAAAAAAAGGAGGAGGATTGACAATAGATGTTAGCTCAGGGCTGGTCTTCCTCAGCAAAAAGAGGAGGATTAGCATGGATGTTAGCTCAGGGCTGATCTTCCTCACCAAAAAAAATAAAACAATAGTCTTGGGGCCGGCCTCGTGGCTTAGCGGTTAAGTGTGTGCGCTGTGCTACTGGCAGCCTGGGTTCGGATCCCGGGCACGCACCAACGCACCGCTTGTCCAGCTATGCTGAGGCGGCATCCCACATAACAGCAACTAGAAGGATGTGCAACTATGACATACAACTATCTACTGGGGCTTTGGGGAGAAAAAGGGGAAAAAAAAAGGAGGAGGATTTGCAATAGATGTTAGCTCGGGGCTGATCTTCCTCACAAAAAAAAAAAAAAAAACACTAGCCTCTCTTCAACAAATTTAGTTTCTACTGCAGCAAAATGCCCTTTCACTAATGGTCAAATATGTTTTTACCACCATCACCGTTAGAAAGTATTTATCACAGGTTGCACCTTCCTGCGCTTTGAGACCTGGTCCTTCACTTCACACTGTGAGTGTACTCACTGCAGAGAAAAGCTGAGGAAAGACCTGTCATCTTCTATAACCATCTTATGGAATGGTGACAGGTGTTTCTGACTGTGTAGGATTGTGCGTACCTAAGGACCAGCAGTTTGTCATTCTTAAAGAAGCCAGACTATTGCTTACGGAGGTATGCCGCCGGAGAGTGGACTTGTCAGTAAACGTCCGTCCACATGCGTTACACATGAACGGCTTCTCTCCCGTGTGGATCCGATGGTGGCGCTGTAGAGCATTGAGCTGGGTGAACTGCTTACCACATTGGTCGCAACAATAGGGACGTTCCCCTGAGACAAGAAGAAGAGAAAACTACTGGTTGGTCTCTTTAGCCTACTGTACCTTATTTTGATTACACTCTGGAATAATGCTGTTTGTAAACCACTGGAAAGCATCAGCTTTCCACCATAAGGAAGGCTATGTTGGGAACGATTCAAGGGTCAACTGACAGGCACGAATCTACTATCATTATAATACCAGGAGTTTATGCTGTACACCAAAAAAGGGCCAACACCCATGCAGGCAGCTGGTATTACACCTATAGAAATTTTACCTATTTTCCACAGTAATGGAATATAAAATCCCAAGTCGCATAATAACTGAATGTGCATGCATCTGTGTATAATAGTCTAATATGTACCTAATACACCTAATATGTACAAATCATTATGCCTAATTCTAATGGGAAAATGTTAAAATGTTCACATATCCACATCCATATTCAAACATTCAAACCTTTTCAGTTTCTTAGAGCCAGAAACTCAAAAATTTAAAAATGCTATTATGACACACACAGTTTGGCCGAAGGTCTTTCCTAAAGCTAAATTCCACGTAATTTTCTAGTAAATCAAAAACCGTTGGGAAATTTTTCTTGCCACGTTGAACTCCCTTCTTTGGCAACATTCCAGCCATACCTGTGTGGACTTTAATATGCTGGTAAAGTGAATTCCGCTGGGCAAAAGTCCTAAAACAAACTTCACATTTAAAGGGTTTGGATCCAGTATGGATTCTATTGTGATGTTTTAAATACTCCTTAGAAGCAAAACTCTTGCCACATGTTTCACACATAAAAGGTCTTTCACCTACGTGAAAAGATGAAACAAAAAGTTAGAAATGATACAGGCACTAGAACACACCAGAATAGTGGGTCCACACTCTTAAAACCCATATGAACTCAAAAGTGCTTTTGACGGGCAGTGTGTTACATTTCCTAGTAAAAATTAGCATAAAACATCTATTCATGTAAGATGCTTACTACTTGCTGAAAGCTGTTGTAAAATATCCTTGAAATCTCAAGAAAGATTCCACTAGACTAGAATTAAAGATCATTCAGCAGCTCACAATTTGAAAATTTAGTCATTCCAAACAAAATAATTTTACAACTTGTTTGGAGGAATTGTTGGATTTTTTCAAAGTACTTCTGTGGGTCTTTATCGGAATGAAAGTCCCTCTTGAAAGGAGGTTCACATTGGATATATGTGCATGACTATTCCAGAATAGCAAAGCCCCGTCACCTGGATTGGCTTACAAGACAAGAAAAAAATGTTTCAATACTATTTCACATTACGTAGTTTGAGTCCTTTAATCCCACAAATCAAACTCATCTGATTATTAGGTGTGCCCCTGATTTCACCAACATCAAAATAAAAATACTAGCTTTAGTAAAATCTGACTATATTAATATTTTCACCAAATGACCAATTCTAACAATCTTTCAGTGTGACCTAACCTCACTTCCACCCCCAAGCATCTGTTAGACACCAATTCAGCTCCTTTTAGTCTAGTAATTCATGTCATTAAATGCCTCATCTCTGTCTTGCCTGCATTTGAACTTGAGGCTCATATGATAGTGCTTAGAAGTAAAAATTTACAAATGCAAGCAAATAAGAAGGAACTGGGTTAGTATGATAACTACATTCAACAGTTAGATTCTGTATGCTTCTGTACCATATACAACAGGGTTCTAAACTCAAAGAAAGCCAACTTAAATTTTCCCCCTCACATAAAAAAATCCCCCAAATTTTGGATAACAGAAACGAGACAATTCCACCACCTTAACACATCACGTAATTTATTTTCTTCTAGTCTTTTATGTGCAGGTTTTCAATATAGTTGGGATTAACTATGCTTAATTGTGTGTTTTTCAAGTCTATATCCAAGCACAGGTGTTTTTCATACTGTTCAGAGCCCTTACTAGGAATAGCCAGGTCATTAGCCAGGAGGAGGTGGATTTACCAGTTTACTGAACCACTTCCTTTGGTTGGACAATCAGGTTGTTTCCAATGCTTTGTTATTAGAAAAAGCAAGAAGAGGGATAATAGCATATAGCCTTTTCCATATTCTGAACAATTTCTTTAGACCGATTCCTGGAAATGGAATTTGGGACTAAAACAGTAGGGCCTGTTTCATACCTCTTGATACGTAAGTCGCACATGCCAGTTCCCACTGCTCAGTGTGCAGAGGCCATCGCCACAAGCACACCAGCCCTGGAGGCAGTGGGCATATTTTATTTATTCATTTTTGCTCATTTACTAGATGGAAAAGCTATATCATGGTTCTAACCTGCACCACTTTGGGAGATGCCAACTTCTAAATAAATTGCAGTTTCCTTCTACAGCTAGGAAAGACATTCAATCACAACAGCATGAGTATTTACCTGTGTGACACCTTTTATGATAAATCAGCATGTGGTTCTGAGTGAATCTTGCACCACATTCATCACAGACAAAAGGTTTTTCCCCTGTATGAATTCTGAAAGTACAACATTCAGATGATAACTTAGGATGTATTTAAAACCTCACTTTGCAATACAATTTCCACTCTAGTCTGCAAAGATAGTTTATTCCAAGAGACCAAACGAGAATGACTGGAGTGAAAGGTGAAGAGGCCCATAGTCTCCATCCCCAAATCCGTTTCTGCACAAGGCCAAAAACGGACATGTTTCCCAGAGACGCTGAATGACCACCCACATCTGCCTTATGCTGGACAGCAGGAGCAGGCAAAGACCACGCCTTTGCATATTTTTTAAAACACTAACTAGCACCATGTGCTATGTGTAAAGCTTTCTCGTTCAGAATAATCAACTACAAACACCTTAGGAATTATTGCTGACAAAGTACCAACACATGATCAAAAATTTTACTATCATTTCCTGATACAACATAACCAGTCTAGAAAGAACTGTTCTCAAAATGCTGAAGAAACCTGGTTTCTGAGGAGTATGAATAAGCATTTTAATTTCACAACTAGCATGAAGTAGCCATCAACCACGATTTACTGAGCACTTCCTACACCAAGTTTTTAAACTTGCAGGGAGTAAAAAGATGATGAACACCATGCTACCACCCCAACCCCAACAACTGGCCCAGGTGTGAAGGCAGATCTAGAATAGAGTAGAAGACTGCTTGTCTGGATTTCAAGCATAAATGCTAATGTCACCCACAGAAAACACCGTCCTAATTCTGGAGTTTAGACTAACCAATGACACACTTGCCAAGCCTGAGAACAAACAGACAAGACCAGAGAGATGTCCCAAAGCCCTCAATGTCATTTCACTGAGGTCTTTAATGGGACTGTAGAACCCAGGTGGTCACAGGCCCAAGTTCTAAATGAAGAGTCAGGAGGAGAGAAATAAAGGGAATTAGCCCCAACTCCTCAAGTACGGCGGGAACCAAGCACCAAAGGCTACTCTGGGAGGGGAGAGCCCTGGCCTGCAGACGAGACTTGCGCCGCATGGCGTTTACAGCAGCCCTCCACTGCGGTGGGGACGCTAGGTGCTGTGTGCAGGCGTCCATGTGTGAATGTGGATAGGAGGAGGGAGGGTCCTCATGGGCCTGAGGCCTGTAGGAACACTACAGGATTTTGTAGCGTTGAAGAGCAATCTCTCAGCATCTCTACGCAGAGAATTTAAAGATGTCTCAAATAGCCTCCCAACTTTTGGAGGGAACAAGTTAACAAGTGAAATATCTAGAGACGTAGCCACACTGGTCCAAATCCTAGAACCACCTCAATTTCTCAACACGCATTCAAGAAAATAAGCCACATTCTAGAAAAAAAATATTTTCATAGGGTCTATATTTCCCAGGACACCCCTCCGCCCAGAGCCCGCACCTCATGTGGGTCTTCAGAGCCGAGGGCTGCGAGAACTTGGCCTCGCACTCCGTGCAGCCATAGGGCTTGTGGCCCGTGTGCGTCCGCTCGTGCAGCCGCAGGGCCGTCTTGGAGCTCAGGCCCTTGCCGCACTGCTGGCACTGGTGGCGCTCGCCCCCGCCCTCGTGCACCTGCACCACATGCCGCTTGACATCCTTCTTCCTTTTGAACTTCTTCCCACACAGCTCACACGGGAAGTGGCGCTCGCTGCTGTGCACGTGGCGCTGGTGGCTCTTCAGGTTACAGCGGTTGGCAAAGGTCTGGCCGCAGGTGTCGCAGCGGTGGACCACCTCCGTGGCCACTCCGTGGTGGTGCCTGATGTGCTTCAGGAAGCTCTTCTCATACAAAAAGGCTTTTTCACAGATAGTGCACTTAAAGTTGCTCTTCTTCTTCTCCCCCTCCTCATCCTCCTCCTCCTCTTCATCCCCCTGCCCTGCTTTCTGCAGCACCTCCTCCACCTCCACCCCAGCATTGTAATCCGCGGTTTTGGGAATTGGCTCCATCTCTGTTCCCACAGTGTCTGGGCTGGGGTCTTGGGGACCCCTGTAGTCCCTCACATCATCCTCAGCACTTTTCTGCTGCTCTCGGAGTCTTCTTGTGTATTTCTTTTTAGGGATTTCCACAAATACCTTTCTTCCAGCCAGCCTTCCACTAGCTCTTCTGACTTTAGGGTAGGGAGGCTTAACTACATCTTTTTTCTTGTCTGGTTTGTCCTTGGACTTCCTCAGGGGCATATCTGGCAACATGCCATTGCTAATTCTCTCCACTGGGGGAGCTGAGGAATCCGCACAGCCATTGGCAAGAGGACTGTCAGCGGGTGCACCTGCCTGAGCATCAGGAGCAACAGTGACTTGGGAGACACGGCTCCCTTCCTCCTCCTGAGACTCCGAGAAATTCTGCAACTCCAAAAGTACCGACTCCAACATCTGTTTCTTTAATTGAAAACAAGTTTCCGATAAGTCCAAACATTTTAGCTTTTCAGCCATTTCTAGCATTCGCTGCACCCGGTCTTCTTCCACCTGTACCTTTGCAGTGTAGACAAACTCAAGAAATGAAGCAAAGTCAACAACCTGCACTTCATTTAAGTAGACATTAGTCCTAGTGCCATCCACGGTCTTCTCATTAAGGAACATTTCCTTAAAAAACTTGCTAGTGGCTGCCAGCACCGCCTTATGGGCCATGAATTCTTCTCGGACGCCCTGGTACTCCACGCTGACAGTCACGTCACACAGGTGACCGAGAAGACGTAGCTGATGCATTTCATGCAGAAGGTTAAATGGTGAGGATTTAGATTCCAGCAGAACTGCACCGCTTTCCATGTTTCTTCTTTCCTAAAACAGCTTTGAAAACAAAACCAAGAATTATTCATGCATGAGCAATCACTGATGTAAAAGGATTAAAAAGTATGAGGATTATTTCAGGGCTGGCCCCATGGCTTAGCGGTTAAGTGCGCGCGCTCTGCTGCTCGTGGCCCGCGTTCGGACCCCGGGCGTGCACCGAAGCACTGCTTCTGCGGCCATGCTGAGGCCATGTCCCACATACAGCAACTAGAACGATGTGCAGCTATGACATACAACTATCTACTGGGGCTTTGGGGGAAAAAATAAATAAATAAATAAAATTATAAAAAAAAAAAAGTATGAGGATTATTTCAGATCTTTAGAGAATACAAACTGATTAACAACCTAAACCTAACTTTTCTTATGTAAGCATTCAAATCACACTTCACTTTCTAGTTTTCTTAAGTGAATTCCTGATGCACCCTCACAATATGTGCATGAAAAAATAGAATGTTACTAAGATTTCCCCCAGATAAACATAAATGATTAAAGTTTTAATTAATGAAATACATTAAAGCAGTAATTTGCTTACAGACACAGATCCCAAAACTAACAGAATTTATGGCAACAATAATATCTAGTTCTTTGATCAGGAAATCCAATAATAAAAAAAAACACATGGCCTCCACCATCTGGGAGCAAACCTTAGAGAATCATGTCTGCCTTTGAAAACAACCAAATAAATAAATACTTTCCATGAGGAAAAGTCCATGGAAAAGTAGACCACAAGCCATGGCCATTTCTAACACTCCTAAACTACCTCATAATTTGAATTACTGTTACTCTACTGAAAGAATGCAAGTTCCACAGCTTTCACAAACTGTGTTACCTTGAACAAGTAACTTAACTTCTCTGAACCTTAGTTTGCTCCTCTGCAGAAGGCTAGCAGGTCACTGTGAGGCTTCAAAGAATGCAAACATGTCAAGTGCTTACAGCTGTGTTAGCGAGTTGTTACTGGCTTCCTATGCGCCAGGCCTGGGGTCTACTATCATCCCCATTTCACAGATGAGGAACCCACATGGGAACAGTAAGTGGTTGGGCTGGGCCTGGAGCCTGGGCCTGGTGGACTCTGGACTCAGTGAAAGTGCTCAGCACGCCCCCACCTCAGCCTTGCCAAATGCAGAGAGCTGCTTCCACTCCCTGGGTCTTCCCACAGCAGTGGGCATCACAGACTGCATCCCGGCCCCACCCCGAGCCTCCTCTCCTTGGCCTCCTCAGTACCCCATACCATCCTGGCTCATTTCTTCTGCTCTGCTGGCTCTACTCTCTCCTCAGACTCCCTGAATATGTGCTTTCTCCTCAAGGTTCATCGCTAACCTGCTCTTGAATCTACCTTCCTCTTCAAGTTTGCTCTGGTTCCTAAATCTCCACCCACCCCTCCACAGTACCCACCTTCCTTCTAACCTCCTTCAGCCAGCTCTCAGATGTCACCTCAACTCAATATGTCTATAGCATAACTTGTCTTCACCTTCCCAACCTCACCTCTCTCGACTTTTCCCGTCCCATCCACCATACTTCTTTCCGTACCCAGGGCTACAACTGGCTTCCCCCAACCACCAGCCCCCAAAACATGAAAAAAGACTGCCCTCTGAGAGCTCAGCTGTAAAAGGAGATCTAGGAAGCCTGAGCAGTGTCACCTGAAGGAGGCTCCACAGTAAACTAGAAACACTGACCCAGCCTGAGTAAAGGATACGTGGTGTGGGGGCGGGGCGGTGAGGGAGTCCAGGCCCGCCTCCGGAGAAATGGCCGCAGATGGCTCCTGATGCCCATACGCACCAGCACCCCTGCACTTCCCCAACCTCGGCCAACGCGGCCCTCGGGCAGACGTGCGGACTCACAGCCGGCCTGACGGTGATTTCTGAGCCAATCAGCAGAGCAGTTTCTGAGCACGGTTTCCCATTCTGCCCGACCACAGGGAGAGAAGGCAGTGATCACGGCGACAGGAACACTTCGGCCTAGGTGACAGCTGCATCTCCCACTGTAACTGGCTGGCACCCTGGCCGTCGCCTCCGTCCCGAGCATCAACCTACGTCGGCGCTCCCAGCGGCCCTCCACACCGGGGAGGCTGCAGCGCTCCAGCCCGGCCCGAGCCCGAGTCAGCACCGGCTCCGACGGCGCCCGCCCCGCCCCGGCCACCCGCGCACTGGCCCCGAGGCCCCCTGATCGGCACACTTCCGAAAGACACGGGGCCCCGCTGCAGGCGGACCCGAGTGCGAGCCCGGCATCCACGGCTTGCGCGTGATCGGGCCTGGCCTGCGGCCCCGGGCCGCCCCGGCTCCTGCACCCCCGAGG